ATAAAATATTTTACAATATTTAATTAATGAATACAGAAATTGGCTACGTGTAAAGTTTGGGGGGAAAAGAATTTGCGATTTGTTGTTTGACTAACTTCAAATGGTAATTCTAAAAATACAAACTTGATTTAAAAAAAAAGCTTTTGTACAAAAAGGGTTAAACTGGAAGTATCACAAGTTAGACAGAACTGTAACTCTGGTTTGGATTGGTCAGTTTGTTTCAGATGAGCTCACCCACCTTCAAATTAAACCAATAGAAAACTACAAGTGTGCGTCAGCGACACAGGCTGAATGAGAGTCATCTTAGCGGTTAGTGTTAGCTTCCAGTAATTTTATCAGTTTAGCAGTTTGGTGTTAGCGGCGCTAASATTCTTGTTTAGCAGATTAGTGGTTTGTGCATGTAATGAAAAATCAATTACTCTACACCTAGTCACTATTTATTTCTTTATTCTTCATCCACCACTTTAAATGTGGCTCGAACTGTAGCATGTACCCCCACAACAGTTACATCAAAATGACYGTCTTGGAGCAGAGATGTGCTGTGCTCACCACTGTAAACTGCTTATTCCAGCATGACAAATACAGCGGGTAAAATAAGTATTGAACATGTCACCATTTTTCTCAGTAAATATATTACTAGAGGTGCTAATGACATGAAATTTTCACCAGTTGTTGGTAACAACCCTAGTGATCCATACATACAAAGAAATCAAACCATAAATGTCCAGAAATGAAKTTATTTGTAATAATGTGGAATGGCACAGGGAAAAARTATTGAACACATGAAGAAAGGGAGGTGTAAAAAGGCATGGAAAGCCAAGACACCAGCTGAACTCTCTCAGTAATTAGAAAGCAAGCCTGCCCCTTGTCAGTGCAAATTAATATAAGCTGGTTCAGTCCCAAATGATGGACAGGTATCACACAAGAACCATCTGATGATGGGTAAAAGTAAAGAGCTCTCAAGACCTTCACAACCTTATTGTTGCAAAGCATAATGATGGCATCGGTTACAGAAGAATGTCTAAACTTCTGAAGGTTCCAGTGAGCACTGTTGGGGCCATAATTCAGAAGTGGAAAGAACATCATTTCACCATAAACTGACCACGACCAGGTGCTCCTCACAAGATTTCTGACAGAGGAGTGAAAAGAATTATCAGAAGAGTTGTCCAAGAGCCAAGGACCACTTGTGGAGAGCTTCAGAAAGACCTGGAATTAGCAGGTACGTTTGTTTCAAAGAAAACAATAAGTAATGCACTGAACCACCATGGCCTGTATGCATGCTCACCACGCAAGACTCCACTGCTGAAGAAACAGCATGTTGAAGCTCCTTTAAAGTTTGCTGCACAACATTTAGATAAGCCTGTGAAATACTGAGAGAATATACAGTAGTCTGGTCAGATGAGACCAACATTGAACTGTTTGGATGCCAGAATACACATCAYGTTTGGAGGTCAAATGGCACTGCACATCAGCCCAAAAACACCATACCAACAGTGAAGTTTGGAGGTGGGAACATCATGGTGTGGGGCTGTTTTTCAGCATATGGTACTGGCAAACTTCAAATAATTGAAGGAAGGATTAATGGAAAATTGTACAGAGACATTCTTGATAAAAATCTGCTTCCATCTACCAGGATGATGAAGATGAAACGTGGCTGGACATTTCAGCAAGACAATGAGCCCAAACACAAAGCCAAGGAAACTCTCAGTTGGTTTCAGAGAAAGAAACTAAAGCTGCTGGAATGGCCCAGCCAATCACCTGACCTGAATCCAACAGAAAATCTATGGAAAGAACTAAAGATCAGAGTTCATAGATGAGGTCCACGAAACCTTCAAGATTTGAAGACTGTTTGTGTGGAAGAATGGGCCAAAATCACACCTGAGCAATGCATGCCACTAGTTTCTCCATACAGGAGGCGTCTTGAAGCTGTCATTGACAACAAAGGCTTTTGTACAAAGTATTAGATAAATTTCAGTAAGCGTGTTCAATACTTTTTCCCTGTGCCATTCCACATTATTACAAATAACTTCATTTCTGGACATTTATGGTTTGATTTCTTTGTATGTATGGATCACTTGGGTTGTTACCGACATCTGGAGAAATTTTCATGTCATTAACACCTCTAGTAATATATTTACTGAGAAAAATGGTGACGTGTTCAATACTTATTTTACCCGCTGTACATGTAAACAACTCTAAATATTGCAGACTCCAATTATTGTAATTATTAATTACCCTTTTTTGTATAATTACATTGTTGTGCTTTAGAAATCTTTGCCCTGTTTTCTAGTACATTACCCCAAACACCATCTTTTTGGTGTTTTGTTAATTTTCTGCAAAAAGCTGGTTGCCCTTTCAGTGCAGTAGCAGCTGTGTTGTACAAAAACCTATTGGCTGCCTTCCACCTCCTACCTCACGGCCTGACCTCATCTCCACATAAAGGCCGTGCGGTGTCAGTCAATCTCGGAGTCCGGACCAGATCTCTTTTATGTGTATTGATATTGCCCTGACCTGAAGGACGAGCAGCGGGCCGCAGATTACCTCACCGGTAACACTAGATGCATTGTGCTGAATTTTGCATGGTCACATTGACCTGGTTGCTCCTTCATTATTCATGACAGTGATAGGAACGCCGCAAACTGAATGCACGCAGGCGAAAGGGGAGGCTTAAACGTGCAACAGGTAGGAGAGAGAGAGAGTGCGGTTTGAATCTCTTCTTGAAACATAAGAGCCATGTGACTGACTTGCTAGTGAGTTCGTGCCTCTGTGTGCGTGTGTGAACTCTGTCGGTCCTCGGGCAGAAAAGGGTGCGGGAGTAATCCAGCGCAGGAGACATAACACCCCGACCATTAGCGGAGCAGCTCACATAGCCCAAGCGCTGGCAGCTGACAGACATGCGTAAACACATGGCAACCCTTCTCCTGCATTCAGAGCGGCTTCAGTATTCAACGCCTCTCTGCCCCACTGTCACACACACACACACCCCAGGCCTCTTCTTTCTGCCGATGCACTTGGGCGGCTCACAAATATTTGCCATGGTCTTCTCGCAGAGCTCTGAGGAAGGCAGGATTAATGGCGGTGTGTGCTGCACACTCAAGGCCAGACAAAGAGTCCCCATCTGGAGCTCCAGTCCGTGACTGTGGAACAGAGGCGGCACACAGAGTCTGGTGTAGGCAGCCTGGGGAGGTGAGGCGAGGTGAAGGGGGTCTGTAGGCTCCACTTCATAAACGAGCGAGACTCCTGGGCAGTCCTGTGGGTGAATAAAGGGGGYGTCCATGTCTTTTGATGTGACGGGGAGGAAAAGGGTTCTGCATGCCGGCTCGGGCCTGGTGCCACACCAAATGGATTACATTTCCCCTACCAGCTGATTAAACAGCCGTATCAGCGTCCCATCAGTGGGCTCTGAGCCAAACAAAGGCAGCAGTCAGAGATGGGCAAGGTTACCTTTGTGCAGCTTTCCCACAATTTAGGAACCCAAGTAGAAACAAAAATATAGATGGAACATTGGCCAGTTTGTCCTTTTTTTGTTGCAGTTCTTTAATCATTTCATGAAGTTCTTAACAAATGCTGTTTTCATACAGAAAAAGTTCCTTTGTCGAAGGGAACCCTGACTTGTAACACTAAACACAACTTACTCCAACTGTAAAAGAGAGTCTGTAAAAATACTGTTTAGTTTTTATAAATATATATATATATAAAGTATATATACAGTATGTGGACGGCATCATATTATTTACGTTGCAAAGCAGACCGGGTAATTGATGTTTCATTCACATTTACTAGGTGTTGCCGTGCTGCAAGCGAGCTCTATCCACCCTGAAGGTTAATCTTGGATAATATCTGATGATCAGCCTTTTTAAATTAAACCAGAGCGCGTTGACAGAGAAGAGAATGTAGAAATGACTCATMCTGAAACTGAGAATGATGATGGAGGACAACAGAGCGTCTTCAGCTTAACCTATTCGCTTTTGCATTAGCACCCAAGCTAATACATATATGGCGATATAGGTTTAGTTCCCRAGCAAACATTATTAGCTCAGAAATTAACACCATATATATATAATAAGTGTGTGATTTAGTTAGTTAGTTTATATATAGCTAACACTATATTGCCATATATCATCAGTGTGCCCCAGGGCAGGTGTGGCTACAATGTAGTTTACCATCATATGTGTGTGAATAAATAATGTAAAGTATCTTTGAGAGTCCTAAAAAGCACTATAAAAGACTGATGCATTATTATAATTGTTGTTGTTGTTATATAAGTATACTGTATKTGTTAGTTCAAGTGTTAAAGCAGCTCTGCTACTCATGAAGCAGCTCTGTTGTTCTGCAACAAGCTCATTTAAAACTGGCACCCGGGTGTTGTGTTCCCATCAATGCCGATTGGAGCCTGAGTTGATAAATCCCCCACAACTGCCRCTGGGTCACTTGATCAGGACTGAATGCTAATTAAACACTTTCCCATTGCGCTCAGAACCAGTGTAAAAAGAGCCCCCTGTGTCCCAGTGCTAAAAAGTACATACGGACAAACTGGTCTGTGATGAGTGGCAGACGTTTAGTTTTGCTTCAATTTTTCATCAAGTTCCTACCTCTGGGATTTACAGTGTCACTTTAAACCCTTACAAACATTCAATCCTTTTCATTTATACCGTCTGATGTTTTGTTGTTTTTAATTAACTGGTTTCAGCCTGTTTGTGTGTTCCTGTTGCATGAAATTACAGAAATAAGTGAGCCTGGAACACTGTGTTGCAGCTGGTGATAGAAAATCAAAAAACATGCACAACCCTGCACTGGCTTTTGGCAAACAGCTGCTCGGATACCTTTTTAACCRCAAGGAGAACAACTCAGCAGGCATTTATTGACGAACCTTAATTTTTATTGCACTGTTGTTTTGTTTAGAGGGGAATTTAAACATTTTTATTAACCAGTGCTTAGCTTGTGCCTCTGCAGTAGTAAAATGTTTTGGTTGTCTAACGGTTTTGTTTCTTATCCTGCAGACCGACTGATGAGAGGCACCCGACGGTGACTGCTGATGGCACTGTGGACAACCTCGCTCAGGCTGTGGATGTGATTCTTCGTCAGAGGGGGCACTGAATAAAAAAGAACCAGACCCAGAGGACTTTCCTTTTCCTGACCCCAGTGGGGTACAGGCTCAGTAGAATCAATATGTAGCTTGTTAAAGCACTGGTTTGTATAGGGAGATGGCTCGTAGAGGTAACTGCACAAATAACGTCCAAACATGGCGAAAGATCAGCCACCTGCTGCCCTACATAGTGTCGAACTAACTGTAAGGAAATATACTCTGGAGAGCTGTGAATGCTTTAGAGCTGCACTCTGCATTTGTCAGTACATGATTGGCATAGATGGGCTACCTCAAACTGACACGAATGTGCCTGTAACCAGCTGCTGATTGACAGTTGGATGAGGAAAGTAACGCAGCGTTCAGACTCTCTGCTCGTGTTGCAGAGAGCCATTGTGAGTGTGTACTTACAGCCACACTGTATGTGCGAGATTGTGCACAAATGTAGTGGCCCTGCTGTAATTTGAGCTCAGGTATTTTGAAGCAGGATTCTGTGGAAAGGCGATGAGCAGTTAATATCTTACCTGTTGTAGATGGCTCTATGATTGACCTCCGTCTGGAGAAGCAGAGTTTTAAAGCACATTTTAAGACAATTATTAAAAATAAAAATAGAGGTTCTCTTTAAAGTAGCTGACAACCTATTAAAATATAAGCTAACGCATAAAACAAGCATAAATAAATAAAAAAATCAGCAACATAGTGCACTTATAATGTGTAGGGCCTTATTGAATCAGTATTTTTTTTCTCTAAATTTAGTTTTTATTTTTCAGTGTCATGCTTTACTATCAAATCACATTTATTTCACCTAAAAATAATGCCTTTTTAAGGTTAATTACAATTTCAATATTTAAAAGGAAAATAATGATTTTTATCCATGATGAATTTGAACAATAATACCATAATATTCAAGTTCAAAAACCAATGAAAAAGCCCCATTTGGGCCTGCTGCAGCTTATTCAAGAGGCAAAACAAGATGAAAATATATTACAAAAGAGAGCTAAATACTATTAATAATCATTGTATTCCGTCAGTTATGCTGTTTTGTGATTATTTGGAGCAAAAGTCAAAATTAAAACTACAAATTTTAATAATTTCACAGTCCTAGCAGCCATCCATTTTGCTCAAACATGCCATTAGCTCACCAGTACAATAAACTATTTTTTGTTGTTTTTCCCCCCAAACTGAGGTCCTTCAATGAGCTATCTGCAGCAGGTAAGATATTASTCTTCATAATATTCCCACATAACCCTTAGTCCTAACAAACTGAACTATTTATTTATTAATTGTGATTTAGTGAAACTAAATTTGTTTTTCTTTTGAATGCAAATAATTCTCACCCTTGAAGTGTTTTACAACGATGTTTGATTCTAATAAAGCTGCTTGATTAGTCTGTAACAGTGTGTAGCATCTTCCTGAATTAGTCTGAGTCATTTTCACTGAAGGTCTTAAGGTTCCAAAGAAACTGAGTGGGGAGGGTTAGTGGAAATTTAGCCTTGGCTCTGGTTTGAACTGGATTTCATATCGGAGCYGCTTTTGTTTTACAATAACAAACCTCTAGAAATGGGAAGTGAGTTGTTTTGAGAGATGATAAATGCAGAATACAGCCGGCGTGATGAATTTCTCAACAGTTTGAGCTCATGTTTCTCACTCTGTAAACAAAAGTGAAGCTGCCGCTCCATCACCAGAGTGAAGAATCACACATCTACAACTGCTTATCTTTGTTTATTTAACTTTAAGCCACCTCTGCCCAGGACTTTCAGTTTGTTTAAAGGGATAGTCTGGTCATTTTTTGGAAGTGAGGTTCTGTCGACTATGTCCTTATTAGTCACAGACCATGGAGACTGGAGAAAAAAAGTACACAAGTCTTTGTCAAAACTAACATAATGGACAAACGTGACTTCATGTGTCAGAAACTGAATCTTGGGAGAATGGATTTCTCACATCAATAATGTTTGTTTTCTTTAATAAGTTGCTTTATTTTGCTATGTTGGTTATGAGTGGAAGTCACAGTAAACATATTAAACTATTAATAGAAAGCATTCTTCAAGCTGGGTTAACCAATGTGTAGAATTAGTGCAGTTTAAAATGACTCTGAATCAAGTAAAAGATCTCCCCTTTTTTCCATTTTAAGAAGCAAACAAATAACGCAAATTGGTATTCTTTAAAGGGAATCCAACTAGTTGTAATAGTAGACATTATTTGATAAATAATTCAGCTGTAAAAATACTGTAGGCTGTTTCGTTCTTACGAAT